AAATACCTGCAGAGAGATATATATACCAACAACAATCAAAGTTGTTGCAACCTCATGTATTATCTAAACACACAATTAATCCACGGTATATATCAGAAATATCGTAAAATTTTATATATGAAAGTAGGCATAATGAGAATAAGTGCACACTCAGTCTATTCTCATTGCATTTCTCTAAAAGATAACAACAGGAAGAGAATTAAATTGATTAGCTTCAAAAAATAGTCCGTTTTATTCGCCAATGAAATTTACTTCTTCAACCAACTTATTATTGTATGGCATTCCTATAGCGATACAGAACAATAACTATTAAGGCAGATAGAACTTTGCTCACACCAATTTAACTATTCCTTGTATTCTACTTACGGTTATTCCGAGATAATCCCGAATTAAACTCCGTAGATACAGAATCTGTAGACACCCATTGTATAACAATCGGGGCAGCTATTATATTCATATAATACATCAAATACCAAAAGTAAGAGCTTAATACCTATTTTTACAATAGAGTATCAGTAGCCCTCTGATTAAGCCCATTCTAAACAAAATAAAATAGAAACGGTTAGTTTATTTTAAAATCGACGAAATACCAGAATACAGTAATACAGATGTATTAATATTAGTATTAAGAATATTAATAATAGTGAAAAAGAAACGATAATTCAGTGAAGTCATGGTAAAAGCTTTGGAAAAAGTTGCTTTTGACGTAATAGTTAAAACGTCAATTGTTATTAAATCAACATTTTGATAGTCTTAGCAGCGTTTTTTATCTTTGACTGCTTCTTTCTCAAAATGCCAACAACTTCAACTACTCCAAATAATAAAGGCATTTTGAAAAGCATTTAAAAGATAAAAAAAACGCTGCTAAGACTATCAAAATGCTGACCTAATATCAATTTGACGTTTATACTATTACGCGAAAAGCAACTTTTTTCCAAAGCCTACCATGACTTCAGTGAATCATCGTTTCTTGTTCACTATTATTAATATCTTAATTATTAGATATTAATAAATGTGGTATTACGGTATTCTGGTATTTCGTCTATTTTAAAATAAACTAACTGGTTCTATCTTATTTTTTTGTTAGAATGGGCCTAATCAAGAGGGCTACTGATACTCTGTTGTAAAAATAAGGTAATTAAGGGCTTATTTTTTGGTATTTATTATAACTTTGCTAATATCTTCGGTTTGAAAGAAGATATCAAGATGCGGCTTTCGCTGACTTTTTAAGCTTTTACTACTCTTTACTATCAGCTAAAATAACACATACTATCGTATTTTTTTAAACGCGCTATGTTTGTTAAATTGTAAGAAAGCGCCCCTAGCGTCTACGTTCAAAACCTTATTATTATTATTTTTATTGTAAAATATAGAGTAAGAAACGCTCTTTTAAACGAGCCCTCGTTTGTTGGATTCTGATTATCCAGTCCGGAGTTATTAACATTTAAATAAAGATAGATCTAACCTTCCCCCACCACTTTATTTTAGCAGATAGGGGCAAATGGTTCTAACAAAAAAAAAATCCAAAATTTACTGAAGATTTTGAATCTATTATTTATAGTACCCATTATCTAGGCAAAATTCTGTAAAAAAATCTATTTTCTTATTTTCCATAGCAGTTGCGCCACCTAGCGGCCGTTTTACAAACTTGGAAATCATTTCCAGCAATTTCTCATAGCCCCTTTAGTTATAAATATTTTTTTCCGTAAGCCATACGGCTAATACTTTCCGAGATACAGCCGAGAACTATTCTTAGTGGGACACCCGGTATAAACTTGAATATAGTTCATATCAAATAAACTTTTAGTCACGTGTTTAAGCTTGATCGGCACAGCGTTGCCCACTTTTGCATATTTTCCATTATTACCGCGTTAAATTCGAGTTAGTCAGCCCTGCGCCGAATATGTCCATGCGGTTGGCAACAATGAATTTAAAAATCGCGCCCTCGATTACGTAACTAAAAGTTTAATCGGTATATTATATATATTTCAACGTATGAATCATTGCATTTAAATGTGGTTTTTATGTCCTACACCTTAGACAAATAGTTAATAATATAAAACAATTTACTATACATAATGAAGGTAATATGAAATAGAACAATAAAAAAAGTGTGTCACTTACGCCAAGATCAACAAGCAATTCTGCAGGATCAAAATTCTCAAAAAGATTTTTTATAAACTGAACCACTAACAATATAAACAATGACATCCAAATAACCTGTGGTACGTAAGAGTAAAATGTGTATATTTTTTTCAAAATATAATTATTTGTTACATGATAAGGCCATGTTCCAAGAAAAATCATAATTTTTCTTAAAAGAGATATCAAATGTGTATTTTCTCTCATGGTTGTGATATTCTGATTTTCTCAAGGGTATAACACTGAATACATAATTGTTTTCATGTCTTATATATACCTTAAATACTTATTAAAAATAAACTTATTACTTATTAAAACTAGAAGAAAGTTTTCTAACAAAAAGTAGTTTTATTAAATTGGCATTTGAATAATGTCAAGTTATAAATGCAGTTAAATGCATATTTTATGTAATTTTGAAAGTTCAAAAAGAAAAAAGTTTTTATAATTGTAACATTTGTAACAAATTAGTTTTTCAGTTATATAATTAGCAGTTTTATTTCGTTATCGACTACTTTGTTCTAAGAAAGGCTTTGTTGTAATAGGAATAATCCATTAATTATATAGTTAACTTTTTATAATGTAAGAATAGGTTGACTTTTAAGTAAAGCTCTAATATTTTTCATATTTTATGTTCCAAGAGTATTTTTTAATGTTTTAAACTTTAATAAATGTATTACTGACGTCTTAACAATTTTTAATATTTCAATTCATGATTGTCATATTTTAGAATTTTTCTTCTTGATTTATTAATTTCCTTTTTGTACTAGTTAAATAACTAGAACAGTCAAATAAGTTTTTAAAAAATGTATTTATTAAAATTTACAAGTTTTAAAATGGCCTCTGCCTTAACAATAACTAATAAAGAAATATATACAAATTGTCTAAGCTGCAGTTTTAAAATATATAAGGGCTACAGTGCTACCAATTAAACTTTTAGGTGGGCGCGATTTTTAAATTCATTGTTGCCATCCATGGACAAATTCGGCGCCGAGCTGACTAACTAAAATTTAAATTTCCCGCTGGGGATTCAGGTGGTAGCTCTACTGTAAAAAATGTCAAGTTGTCACATTTCTTTATTTATTTCTTGACATTGTCATTCGTTTTGAGACTTTAGTTTTGTATTTTCAGTTTTTGCTTTAAATGAATTATGTTAAGCTTAAAAAAAATTACTAGCAGACCTTGCAGTCGAACGTTATTCTTTCTAGAAGCTTTTTTAGTGCGAAGTGGGCACAGGATAGCTTGATAGCCAATGCAAAAAACTCATCACAACTTTATTAGAATATCTTGAACGGCAAAGCGGTAATAATGGCCCTTTATGTCCCTTAAGTTCTGTTAAGGAGGTGGGTTTTGTTGATGTAAATAATAATTGTTTATAATATTATTTATAATTTATTTATTTTTGTTTCCTAAAAAATTTTGATTAAAAGAAAATGTGCAACTGGGCGACGCTGTGCCGGTCAAGCTTAATTGACTAAAAGTTTAATTGGTATGAACCTAAGGTATGAATCTTGAACTTTATACCGGGTGCGTCTTAAAAGTGGCTCACCACTATAACTTTTTTTATTTTTTCGTTTAAAAAAACGAGATTTGGTATGTTAGTATATGCCATGAATTAGGATTGATTGACGTATTCAATTGTTTTCCGTCACTTCCTGTTTCACCGGAAATGACTACAACTTTTGATTTCTAAATTACACCCTAGGTATTTTTTTTTACTTTATTCGATAGAAAATAACACTCTGAATAGAATGACATATCATATGTCAACATACGACATTTTCGCATATGGTTTATTTGAAATTATAACTTGCGGTTCGTAACGAAAATTTGACTCGAAATACCAAGTGTGTGGTATCAAATTATTCGTAAAAAATGCTTTTTCCGAATATGCTAATGAGTCACCCTTGTTCCATTTGAAAAAATTGAGATATGATTTAAAATACGATTTGGGCATCTTTTAACCGGCCGGGACAAGACACTATAAACATTAGACGATCAAATCTATTTTTCCAAGGCTCCTTGATTAAGAATTAGTGTTTTTAACATAGCGATGGCACTCTAGATTGAGATTTAAAATACTATTTTTTATTAAGCGAGAATGTCAAAAGTTGACATATGATATGTCATTCTATTCAGAATATCATTTTCTATCGAATAAAGTGGTACCGAGGTACCGAGATATCGAGTGGAAAATCCGAGGTAAAGTGGAAAAAATACCGAGGGTGGGATTTAAAAATCAAAAGTTGTAGTTATTTCCGGTAAAACAGTAAGTGACCAAAAACAATTGAATACGTCAATCAATCCCAATTTATGTCATATACTAACATACCAAATCTCGTTTTTTTATCTGAAAAAATAAAGAAAATAAAGAAGTTAAGGGGTGTGAGCCTTTGAGACGCACCCGGTATACGACATGAATATAAAATTTGTATTTTTTGGAACCCGCGCCTTCACATCGCAAATATTTATCTCTTTTTAATTATTTCCTGTTCTGTATCTTTTTGGCGCTTGTGTAATTTTTATTTTAAATGTGTAATTTTTGCTACATCAGCGCCACCTTAGTAGTTCCTTCTTTAATGACCTCTTTCCAAATATAGGAGATAATTCTCCTTACCTCTAGCCTCCATATCAACGTTCAATACATGAATAATTACAAATGCAAAGTTAGGCTTTTCTTAAACTTCCTAGGCATTATACAGAAAACACATTTTTAAGTTGACACATTTATTCTATAATATATAGATATTGTGCAATTTCTTAACTAGTTTGCTAAGATCAAACACTATTTCTTGCTATTTAAGGTTCCTATAAAATCAGAATTTAGAAACATTCAAGAACTAATTACATACTAATAGTATTAGCAACTTCTTTATTATCGAAGTGTAAAGTGTAGTGTAGATATATAATTTCACTCATCTTCTTTGCAGATCCAAGTCCTCAATCTGAATTATTGAAAAAAGCAATGTATGAATACACAGCTCTTATCATCTGAAATTGAAAAATAACTATTTATGTATAGGGCATATTAACTTAAGGTTCATACATTTATAATTTATAATATTATAAATTATATGTTATATAGGATGTTATAGATAAAAAGTGTTTGAAAAAAAATACATCGTCAGTCCAAGAAAATATTTTACTTTGACGTAAATTGTTGAATACTTACAAATAACGCTGTTTCTTTGGTCATAGGACCAAAAGATCCGATGTTCATTGACAATGGCTTTTGAGCTCTGATTATCAAAAATAATAATCGTTTCTTGTATTCATCGTTGAAATGATACCATTCACTGTCGTAAGCAGCTGTAGCTATAGCAGTACTCTAAAAATAGTTAACACAGCTTTGTATTCAATGTAAAAGTCAATTAATAGATACCTACCTGTATTATGATTTCATTTGCTACATGAGTATAGGCCAGAATTTGCAAGAACAATAACGTTACGTAAGGGGTGAATGTTACGCAATATTGAATAGATTGGGCCTAAAACACAACAAACATTAAAGTATTACAGAGTGACGTAGTTTATTTTTTTTCAGTCGAATATATATCTTTAATCGTCAATCAAAAAAGGAGTTATAATGCCACAAAACCAGCCCAGCTCTAGCCAAAGAAAGGTCCCAGCTCTAAGAGCGTCGCATCTGAAATTCAATGAAATTCGAGACTGTCTATTTCACTCTTATAAGTAGCAACGACCATGGTATAAAGAAAAAAAAAATAATTATTAGTTTTGAATTGTTATACAGGGTGAGTCTTAAATAAGTGCAAATATTTTCAGGACTGGTATATCTCGATAAAAGAAACATATTTTCTCTTTATCATTTTTCAAATAAGTCCAAAATAACCGAGTTATTTAAGTTTGAAAATTAAAAAAAAATAATTTTATTTTGGAAAAATTTTGAGAGCCACCGCCTTTTTTCTGTATGTGCATCCCTTTTAGTGCCGTAACCAAGCTGTAACTATGGTAATATCAGAGATTAAGAAATTATACCGTGGGAAAATTTGCGGTGAACAGGCACTTCTAAAAAGTTTTCGAAAAATATACAGGGAAATTTAAAAGAAAATGCACGATGCTCAACATCTTTTTTTGCGAAAAAAACCTCATAGACGTGTTCCTGGGATCGAAATATACCACCCCTGAAAATATATGCCCTTATTTAAGACTCACCCTGTATAGTTTCTTAATGTGTTCTTTAGTGATAAGTAAACTCTGTAAATTAAATAGGATTTTAAATTATCCACACGGAACCTAGTAAAAACGTAATAATAAGAAATAATGTGTTAATTTTAAATATCTCATTCAAATATAATAAAAAATAAAATATAATTTGGAAAATTTTTACACACTCATTGCCTTATTTTGTTTGTCATTAAAATATCTTCTTGTATCAACTAGATATTAGTTTATTATCTATAATAGATAAATCATTCAACTTTTTACCTTGGTTATTTCAGCTGCAATCAGTGCACAGTTTATAGAAGTTGTACTGAATTCCGAGAGAGATATATTTTTTATTGATTTATTCAAATCAATTATAAAGCTAAAAATCAAAATATATCAGGTTAATATGAGTTATACTAAAGACATTCTTAAGAATTTTTTTATTATTTCTAATAAATAATACAATATGACAAAAAAACGGCGTCAATGATGACGTTGAAATGAACATCGCTGTCATTTTATTTGTAAAATTATACAGGGTGTCCCAGAAATAAGCGCAAGTATTTTAACTGGTAGTATAGTTCAACCCCAGAAACACGCCCATGAGTTTTTTTTGAATTTTTTTTGGATTTTTTTTAGTTTTTAGTTAAAAAACATAATTTCTTGATAATATGGCAACATAGGTATTAGGTTAAATTTACAAGAAAGAAAAGATCCAGTGGTTCTCAAAATTTTAGCAAAAAATCATTTTTTTTTGGAAATTTTCAAAGTAAGATAACTCCGTTATTTTGGACTTATTTCAAAAACGATACAGAGAAAATATATTTTTTTATCGAGATCTACCACCCCTTAAAATACTTGCACTTATTTCTGGGACACCCTGTATAGCTAACAAAAACTAAATTGGGCCCCGTTTTTATTTTCGATCATACGGTTTTTTTTTTTTAATTATTATTAATAAGATCATACCAGCCTTGGTAAATATAACAGACTGCGGCTACCGGAGGCATAAACAACTAGTGGAAGAGAGTCGTTGGACGGTTTTATAAATCTATTAATATAAATGCCTCCGAAACACGTCTCAAATACGGCAGTTTTTGCTAAATATATATAAAATAATGCCACACATTTTTTTTTAAAATTACATAATGTAGAAACAAGAAGATATTTAAACTCAAGAGATACAATTGTTTACCTTTTTCCTACATCGGCCATTATTCTATCCTTATTTTCGCATCTCTCTTACAGCGAAAACATTTGCCAAGTTACCTGTTATATTGGTATTGGTATTCGATTAAATACCACAATAATTTATTAAGTAATAAATAATTTCGTTATATTTCTATAATATATCAAGTACATTAATTTGCTAACGTCAATTTTTTAATTTAATGTAATTATAACTATTTTTAAATTTTATATTGGAATAAAAATATCATGATCGTGTTTCTTTTAATGACCAAAGCGGTTTGGCAACATCAGTTTTAGAAATATGCCGGCGTGGTACAACGGATTTCGAGGACGAATGAAAATTCCTAGATTCTCCTGTTGCGATGTTGCTATGCCGCCGGTCAAGCTCCATATTCTTTATTTGCAGTATTGTAGTATTTTTGCGTTATTTTGTGGACTTCTGTGTACATTAATTTGAAAATATGGTGCATTCATGTATTGTGTACAAGAGAGTGTATCATTTAAATCAGGTGCTTTTTCACTTACGTAAATAAAAATAGAGGTAGGGTTAGATTGTATTGTTATTTATATCCTCTTCTTTGTGGGTGGGAGGCGGACCTAAACATAAAAATAGCAGATTTCTAAATTATATTTATTTTAGGTTTATTAAAAAAAAACTGTATATTTATTAATTTATTATGTTTTTCAGTCTATATATTTATTAATTAAATTATTTGTCGAAAAAAGGTACATGGTACGTACTAATTAATAATAACTTAATAATAATTTCTGTTTCCCTTTTTAAAGAGAATTATTGAATAAGTATATAATCTAGGTATCCACTTGGGTTTTGACAAATCATTACCTACCTTTTTTGAAAATTTTATTGGGGTGTACCAAAAATGGAATTTTACGGCCTTACTTTTTTGTTGCCGTTACAATTTAATACGACTTTTGTTTTGAAGAATTTTGGTTGCTACAATGTAAATGGACATCTTTTACATACATATAATTAATGTACTGATTACATGAATTTTATGACTACTACATTTTGTTGTATTTTATATTTTTGTATTGAAATTCTTTGTACATGCACTTTTTATTATTTATAAAAATATGAATAAAAAAAAAAAAAACCAGAAAAAAACTAAATATTTTTAAGACTAAGGGAAGAACCGTTTACTAAACAATCATACATTTTATTTTATTTATGATTTTCTAAAATTATTGCTAGACTTTTTTGATGAGTGTATTATAATATCAAATAATTTTGTTGTATAGATTTGTAATAATTTCATTTAATGACATTCATTTATCGAATTTTAACAACAGAGCAGCCTCCCTATTTTTTCTCATTGTTTCACTACGTTGACCATGATCATTCGACTAGGCAAGTGCATTGTTTTAAAATTCCTCAACACCTAACAGCTAAATTCCAAGATTTTTGGAATAGTCAGTTTCATAGCACCACATTTGTGGAATAATATTTCATACTTTAAATTTCAATCCTTTACAGATTATAAAAATAGATTAAAATCATTTACTAAATTCAATAATTTCTTCGTGATATGTGGGGTTCTTGTTCTTCTGATATATCCGTCATTGGTTGCTGTTCGGGTTTTTACACTGTTTCGTTATGCCTCTCTGCTTATCTCCGCTCATCCCTGATAAAATTATATTTCACTTTTTTTATCTAATTTTATTTTTTAATTCTGATTATTTCTATAATTTAATTTATTTCTATTTTATTTTTGGGGTCGCACCACTTTGGTACTTTGTGTCATTGTATCAGTTTTTAATCATGATTTGCGATCCCTTTAGACTTACACATTTTTAGTGGTTAGCCAAAATTCATATAGGTATATAATAAATATACATATAATAATAAAGTTTTATCAAAAATATGCTGAAGTCTACAAATATTAGTTTTTTTTTTTTTTTTTTTTTTTTTTTTAAACTATTTTATTTTTGTTATTTAAAAAATGTATAAAATCTAAGAACAGGTATGAAACACTAAATCACCACAATTACACCAAAACACTTTTACTTTTACACTGGACGCGTTTTGTATAATATTAGCATTATCAGCAGATGATTATAAATTGTAGAATAGAGGGAGTCTCATTCACCGGAAATGAACAAGGTTTGGAACAAGATATTGAAACTTCATTTACTAATACACCCAAAGTTTGATATATTATTTAATAAAATAAAGATTTTTTTTTTTAATTTGATTTTTTAATCGTTATTCTTATGTGAAAAAAAAATAAAAAAAAAAAAAAAAAAAAAATTTTATTTATTTCCTTTATCCTCCCTCAACTTATTTTTTCCCTATTAATATCCTCCCTCAGCTTTTTACAATGCGACAAATATGTAAGTGTTATTCATGCTTTTTAAAATTTGTCGTATTATTTTAATTTCCTTAAAATACTGTCGGTCGATCGGCACGCCACTGGAAATTGACCTCAACCGTCTAATCTTTGTAAACAACTACATTGTTGCCGTTGCGCCGATACCCTATTCCCTTCTATGTCCATTCTCTCTCGCACTCGTTGATTTTTGCAAACCAATGTGTGATGAAGGTTTAGAGCGTTTTATAAATGGATCGTTGTATCGCCCGAGTTTTAATATCTTTGTGTAGAAGTAATATACAGATTGTTAACTGGACGTTTACTTATAGGGGAACAGAATGCTTAATGCTGCCACCAGTTTCAAATGGAATTACTAAGCTAAGCTGCCGACTCGTCTCGTCGCGTCGCGCGTCGTCTCTCGACGAGCAGGCCGAGGTTATACATATTTCAACCATAAAGCTATTGCCATATGTAATAAACAAATTAACAGCCTGTATGGAAGTAGTAATATAGAAGCTGAGTATGATAAAAAACGGCGTCAGCGATGGCTTTATGAAATGAAGATCGCTGTCATTTTATATATTACATTTATATGGGAAATATCGTCGACCGTCATTTCCCAAGCAACTGGACGCCTTTTTTAATCAGCGGTATAATCTCCGGTGACGGTATTTTTTGTATACACTAACAATTACCGCCGGCGGTTGTTTCTAACAGATGCGTAAATGTAATAACCATTCTGCAATCAAAACTATACCCGATTAAATTTTGATGTCTCCTGATAAAATCATTCAACATACGAACAGCATCTTTATCGTATGTAGCTTCGATAGATTTATTTATCCGCTTAATCTCGATTTGGTACAGCCTTAACTTTGTTCCCGCATAATACATTAGTGTGGTTGCAACAACAAATGAACCATTGATTGCCGCAACAGCATATATTATACAAACAAAATTCGTAATATAATATATCATCTGAAATAACAGAAATATTCAAAATTAGATCTTAATTATTCTTTGGAAAAATAAAATTATAGAAAATGTAAAATCTCTGTGTATAAAAGATACTAACCAAATGCAGTTCTGGCTGAGGAAAATATATATCATACAATTCTGGGATTTCTAAACTTTCATTGTTAGCTTTGTGTATTTTATTAATTTTAATATTAAAGAATATATACTCTAATATAAAAGAAAGAGACCACTGATATCCAAACAGCGATACTCATCTAAAAGAAAAATGTGGCTTTCAAATTAAATTAACTAAAATCTTCAGGTTTTACATATTTTGATTTTTTAGTTAAAGTTATTTCCATCTCAGGACCATATCAAACCACATAAAATATAAAAATCCAAAGAGATGTCAGTCCTGTTACCAAGTCATGGTTTAGTGGAATTGAAAATTCGGATTTTTAAAAAAAAAAAAATTAATTAAAATACAAATTAAATGGGTGTATTTTCAGAATCAGTTGGAACAGAGGCTGGCTTGAGATTCAGTGAAAGTAGTTGAATAAAAATGATTTAAAAATAGATTCATATTAACATTGCATTAAAAAGAACATCTAAACAAAAAATCTGTCACATCGGAATATCAGTTGATAGGCTTACCAACATACCACATTAACCAAGGCAGCTTATTATCAGGTGCGTCTCAAAAATAGATCACCCCTATAACTATCTTATTTTTTTCAGATAAAAAAAACAAAATTTATTATATTGGTATATGACATAAATTTTATTAGGATTGATTGACGTATTTAATTGTTTTCCGGTCACTTCCTGTTTCACCGGAAATGTCTACAACTTTTGATTTTAAACGGCATATAATTATATTTTACCTTATTCGATAGAAAATGACAATCTAGATAGAATTTTTAACTATATATAAACTTTTGACATTTTCGCAAATTATGTAATTGAAATTGTAACATGCAGTTCCTTATGCAAATTTGACTCGAAATACAAGTGTGTGATATCAAATTGTTTGTATGCTTTTTCCATTTATGCTAATGACCACCCTCGTTCTATTTGAAAAAATGGAGATATCCCCCCTCTGTATCCGCCACTGGCTGCTAATGTATTGCATGTATTTATTTTACAAATTACTGTCGTTCTTATACCTTACTAATTTGCGTTAAAATTGCGGGTAAATGATTAATAACCGAGCAAGGAAATAAAATGAAATGGCATCATGTCAACCTATGGTCAACCTGTCAATTGGGAAATTAGTTCTCCAGACGACAACGAGGGCTTTCGGTGGCGTATCGTGATTCCACGATTTAACACAGAGTTGACACTTCTTTGTAGTTGAGTATTTTATGTTTTTTTCTCCTGAAATAGAAAGTGACCGAAAACAATTGTTTTATGCCATATTATCATACCAAATCTCGTTTTGTGTGAAAGGCAAAACTTATGATGGTGCCTTTTCAGACGCACCACATAGATAATAAAATAAAAATGGGCTCTTTGTCAAGTATTCTTACCACTAATTTCCAAGCATTTATTTGTTTCATATAACATTTTATCAACTCATCATCACCTGATTTTAGTAACTCGCTCTCTTCGTCCATGATTATTTTAAACTTATAATATACCTTATTTCTTGCACAAATAATGAGACGAAGTGTGATTTCCAGCATAAATCAATTAAAATCTGATATTTAATAATTTCTTACATAAACTTGAATACATTATACATGTTCAGTGGTGACGCTAGAACTTTTTTTTTTTTTTGGGAGGGGGACAAACAATTTTCCCAACTTCCCTACTTTAAGAATACCAATACGTAATATGTAATAATGTATCGTGATAGGAAAAAAACCCTTGTTTTAAAAAAAAAATGTTTATTAATTTTAAAATAATTAATATTTTTTTTTTTTTTTTTTTTTTTTTTTTTTTAAAATTAAGAAAATAAAATCGTACCATCCTTAATATTTTTATTTAATAACTAGCGTGTACCGACTTCGTTCGCGTCAATTAATCATGTTTAATGGCGATGATAAAAGAAATAGAAACTGATTTCCATTAACAGCCTAGGCGGATAAATTTTCTCACATTTATGTCAGCATGAGAAAAATAATATAATACATATTATTATATAACTTGGTAATATTTGAGGGGTAGTTTCATCTCGTTGGAATTTGACTTTCCGAAAAATCTACGTTCGAAACAAACTTTTTACGTCAAACCGTTTAAGCAGTATCGTGGTTTAGAAATTATCCAACTTTTGGAACATCCTGTATAATTTTTAAAAATTTCAAAATATGTAAAAACCAAATGATTATGCATGTCCAAGCGTTTTCCCGAAGACTAACCGTTTTTTAAATAACAAATGTTATGTAATATTTGAGGGCGTTTTCACCCTCTTGGAATTTGAGATTGGAGAAACCCCTCCTTATCGACCTCTACACTTACAGTCCAAAGTTCTATGAAAATCAGCTTTTAAACGTCAAACAGTTTAAGCAGAATCGTGATTACTCAATGGTAATATTTTATGAAACCTCTATAAATTATATTATTATATTATAAAATCTTAAAATATATGAAACAACAAAACAAAATAAAATATACGTGGTTAAGAGTTTTTCCGAAAAACTCACCGGTTTTAAATAAAAATATTTTTTAATATTTGAGGGATAGTTTTACCCCCTTATAGAATTCGAGTTTCGAAAAATCCCTTCTTATCGAACCCTAAAAGTCAATCTGTTTTCCAAAAATCAGCTCTTTAAGCAGGATCGTTGATCAGGATCTTTAAGCAGGATCGTATAATTAATTAATTAAATGTTTTTTTTTTTTTTTTTTTTTTTTTTTATATTTTAAAAATCTTAAAATATGTAAAAACAAAATGATGTATGTTTAAGCGTTTTTCGGAAACTTGACCGTTTTTAAATAAAAATATAATTGTAATATTTGAGAGTTGGTTTCACCCTCTCAGAACTAAGGAATTTCTACACCCTAGAATCAACCTGTATACCAAAATTAGACTTCTATACCCCGTTGAGTGGTTTGAGCAGGATCGTGATTAATCAGTATGTCGGATTTTATACATACAATATACATATTAGTATATAGACTAGTCGCCTGGTCTTCAAAATTGAAGCCCCAAGTTATTGTATTTTTTTGTAAATCTAAGTTGATGGCAATATCCGCTTCACATTAGTGCAGCGGCAAATTTTATTTTTTGAAAAGTTGGGATTTAGACGTCGCGTTGTCATGACTAATGTCCCAACTCAATTATACATTGGGGGAGCATCCCCCCATCCTGCCATAATAACTTCACCCTGTACATGTTTCACCATTATATGAATTTTATTTTTTTATATTATTTTTTTTTTTTTAATTTTTTTATAAATATTTTTTAATTTTTTATTATTATTATTATGTGTTTTTGATGTCCCCCTGTACCTTAGACAAATACTCAATATAAAACACTTTACTATCAAGAATGAAGGTAGTACATTAAAATGGAAAGAACAATAATATAAATGAATTAAAGAAACAAAACATGTTTGATAGAGTATTAAAGAGAAAATCGAAACAATCAAAATATCGAAAATCACTATTATACGACTAGGTATATTATACAGAAATCCTATAAAGGCTGTAATAAAACAAAGAAAGCACAGAAAACCATAAGAATATAGTGTTGTTTATAAGGTATAGTTTAAATTAAAAATGGTGTCACTTACGCCAAGTTAAAGTTTTGCAGAATCAAAATTATTCTCAAAAGATTTTTTCATAAACTGAACCACTACCAATATAAACAATGACATCCAAATAACCTGTGGTACGTAAGAGTAAAATGTGTATATCTTTTCAAAATATAATTATTTGATGTTACATGATAAGGCCATGTTCCAAGAAAAATCATAAGTTTTCTTAGAAGAGATATCAACTGTGTATTTTCTCTCATGCTTGTGATATTCTGATTTTCTCAAGCGTGTAGCACTTAAACTAAATAATTTTTCATGTCTTATATACCTTAAACTTATTACTTAGTAAAAAGGAAGAGTTTTCTAACAAAAGTAGTTTTATTAAATTAGCATGTTAAATAATATCAAGTTAAATGCGGCGAAAATGCATATTTAATGTAATTTAGGAATTTCAAAACAAAAAGTTTTTGCAAATTATAACATTTACAACAAATTAGTTTTCAACTATAATTAGCAATTTTATTTCGTTGTCGACTACTTTGTTCTTACAAAGAGTTTATTGTAATATAGGTAAAAACTATAGGTTGTAAACTAGGAATATAATAATATAGTAAACTTCTTATAATATAATAATAGGCTGAAATAGGCTGAAATGCTCTAATATTTTTTATTTTTTAAGGTTGATTCTCCAGTTCGATACTTTTTATTGTACAATTTATATCATTACAAAGAAGTTTTATTTTTAAAATTTATCTTTTGAAAAAGGTAATGGATTTAATTAAGAGGTGAAAAGTAAAAGAATAAATAAATATAAACAAAATGTTAACAGGCTGGGTACAAATGTAAGAACTTTTGACAATGCTGTTTCCTATACGCTTCAGTCCGTCCATAAAAATATATGGAAAAGGAAAGGGATGATATAGAACGGAAGAGTGGAACGGATAGTGTGTCTTGTCCTATTCATTTTACATGATATAATATTTATGTAAACGAAAAGGAAAACATAGATTAAGCGATATGGAAAGTATAGCGAGAATCAACCTTTATGCTCCAAAAGCGTCTTTTAATTTTTAAAACTTTAATAACGGTATTACTGACACCTTAACTATTTTTACTATTTCCAGTCCAGTTGGCATGGATGACGATGATCGACTACATTTCCCATATAATTTTACATATAAAATGAAAAATATAATAAAAAAAAACAAATAAATAAATATAAACTCCGCCTGCGCGATCACTGGGTGGATTAAGAAGCTCAGTGGTCGTGTTGCCGGTCCTAAGCCCGGAAAAAGGAGGAATGTTGTCGGCCTAGGTTAGCTCCCTACCCGATTTAAAAAAGAACCACGGCTCATAGAACCGACACTCTGCCTCGGAAAACGACTGATTTATTGATGATGACAAACGCAAGAAAAAGGATAACGGCCTGGAAAAAGAAATGTATACTGCGCTTTGCCACCTGGAACATAAAATCATTTAACAACAAAGATCAAGAAACCCTAAAAGAACTTAAAGATAATAAAATCGATATATGTGCCCTACATGAGACGAAAAAGAAAGGTAAAGGTCAATTACAATACGATGACTATTTAGTGATCTACAGCGGAGTTGAAAAACAAACAAGGGCAAAAGAAGGAGTAGCAATCGCAGTAGCAAGAAAGTACCAATCAAACATACGGGACTGCAGTTATGTATCCTCGCGAATCTTGGTCGTAAGAATGGAAACAGGAGATCAAAAACTAAATATAGTGTCAGTTTACTCACCTGAAGACAATAAACCAAAACAAGAAAGGGAGTCGTTCTACGATCAACTCCAAATACAATTCAATCATTTGCCAAGCGATCCAGCAAATATGTCAATTCTTGGAAATTTCAATGCCCGCATCGGAAATCAAATAATCCCTGGAATCAAGCAGAGGTTTAATGAAAATGTACTGAACGACAATGGAGAACTTATGATCGACTTATGCACATTCAATGGACTACGTATTAACACACATTCTACGACCATAAAGAGCAACACAAATTCACATTTAGCAATACTAGAGGCCACAGATCTACAATTGACTATATTGTTACAAACAGATATATACATCCACTTCAAATATTAGATATCAGGACGTTGAACTCAGCCGATGTAGGAAGCGATCACAGTCTGTTACACAAAATCAAATTAAAATTTAAACCTCATACGAAACTAGGACAAGCAACTCAAGAAGTTAAGATAAACATCGAATCGCTATGGGACTTGTCAATTAAACAACTATATGAGAAAAGACGTGAGAAAATTCAAGTAAACCCAATAAAAGCAGAGGATAGCATAAATACCTCCTGGGAGAAACTAAAGAACAACATCAAACAGGCCGCATGTGAAGCTTTAGGCACCCGGTCTATAAAAGAAATAATAGCACCAAAATAAATAAAACTCCGTGGTTCCGTCCAAATTAAAGAAAATGTAAAGAAAAAATAGCATACCTCAACTACAGAACATTACGCACACGAGAATCATTCATTCGAAACATATAGACGAATCCGAAACAAGACAACAGCACTAGTGAGACGACAAAACCAACATTGGGAAATTTTCTCAGAAACAGATGAGTGAAGCTTCTACCGGACTTCAAAACAAATTTGGCGCTTTATAGGAACGCAAAGAAAAGAGATTAACGAGTTAGTTGAAACAAATCACATAGCAAGGGAATCCTGGATTGATTACTTATCAGAACTATACAAATCAGAAGAAATAGAGGTTGAATTAATACACCCGAAATAATGACCAACGACAACATACAGATTGAGGCAGCCGATATAATTTCAGCCCTTCGAAAGCTAAAGAATAGGAAGAGCCCAGGGCAGGATGATATCCCCAGCAATACGTGAAAAAAAAAAAAAGA